CCTTAATCATAAATGGCTAAAGAGTATTTCACCCAAGTTTCATGAAGTTTTGGAACTGTGCAGTGTATTTCATCTTCGATATTGTGTCCTTCGATATTTCGTCAAATTGCCGCCATTTTAATGGCTCGCCGCTTCTCTGTTCGATAAATGCCACTTCTCCATTCTCATATGTATTTAGATTACAGTATCCAGGAGTACTTCATTGTAGAATAGTCCCAATCGAAAAGTTGACAAAATTTGTCCCATTTGGGACGAAATACCATCCCATATACCATTTGGGTTCAAAATAAAAAACAAATCATTTGAAAGTCACGCGCAATCTTCGCGAAAACTTCTCGTGGACACATGACGGGGGGTGCATATTTCCACGAAACGTTTGTTAGCCACCATAGAAACAACTAAATATATTGTATTTATTGTATTTTTATGATTTATTACAAAACTAGGCAAATATTTATTGTTTTTATCATAAATCATGAAAATACAATAAATACAATATATTTAGTTATGTTTCTGATCTGTGGTGGCGAACAAACGTTTCGTGGAAATAAGCACTCCCGTCATGTGTCCACGAGAAGTTTTCGCGAAGATTGCGCGTGACTTTCAAATGATTTGTTTTTTATTTTGAACCCAAATGGTATACGGCATGGTTTTTCGTCCCAAATGGGACAAATTTTGTCAACTTTTCGATTGGGACTATTCTACAATCAAGTACTCTTGGATACTGTAATCTAAATACATATGAGAATGGAGAAGTGGCATTTATAGATAGATAGATAGATAAACTTTATTTAAGCACACTAGTCCCATTCAACACTAAGCTGATTTCCATGAGAGGTGTGCTGGCTAATTGTTACAATTTAAAAACTAATTTATTAATACATACAAACTATTATTATATAAATCTATTAAATATTTATTTAAATAAACTACTTAAATTAATAAGGCCGAGGGCGAGGAGAAAAGGTTTTTACAAAACGAGTTGTAAGATATCGAATTTCGAATATTTTCTGGTATTCTATTCCATAATTTAGCCCCAATGTAACTGAAACTTTTTTAAAAAAATTCTGTCCTGGGCCTTGGAATAAAAAGCCCAGTTGAAGAACCTCTTAAATTATAACTATTTACAATGTTGGAAGATTGGAAAATGTTACACAGTCTTTGTGAAGCTAATTGATTTACTGTTTTGTACATGAGTTTGGCCTTCATTAATGCTCTACGTTCTTCAAGGGATGTCCAACCAAGAGCAGTACGAGCTAAGATAGACTGTCCATGCTCATTTTTAAAATTCATAATTACTCTAGCCGCTCGATTTTGCAATTTTTGAAGACGTTCGCCGAGGCCTTTGCCAAGCTCATCCCAAACCTCACAACAGTAATCAAAATGCGGCTGGATCAATGCATTATACACCAGCACTAATGTATCTCGGTCTACAAATTCTTTAAGTTTTTTTAACGTACCAATCCCCGAAGATACTTTACTAGCGATATATTCAATATGTTTTTCCCAGTTTAGGTTCTCATCGATTTCAACTCCTAGCACTTTTGCGCTTTTTACTCTTTTGATTGGACATGTGTCGATCTTAACTGTGGGTTGGACATCCATGCTATTAATCTTAGAACGTGATCCAATCAAAATATATTCCGTTTTCGCAATATTTATGCTAAGTTTGTTTGAAGACAACCACACTTTAATATTTTTCAAATCCTTATTCGCTATCTCTTCTGCTTCATTTAATGTTTTGCCCACAGCTGTAAGGCTGGTATCGTCTGCAAACATCCTTGGTGTTGTATGTTTGAGACAATTTGGCAAATCATTTATATAGATAATAAACAGAAGAGGGCCAAGTATACTTCCCTGAGGGATGCCGCAAGTTATTCCTCTCTGATCTGAAAGCATTCCATTTAGCTGACATCTTTGTGTTCGATTTGCTAAGTAATTACTTAGTAAATCTAGGGCTTTATTACCAAAGCCATACCGTTCGAACTTACGTAAAAGAATTTCATGGTTGACAGTATCGAATGCTTTCTTTAAATCGAGAAGAACAACTATGTTGTATAGGCCACGGTCCATGTTAATATACCATTCATTAGTACAATCTAAAAGTGTGGTAGTTGTGGAATGAAATTGTCTAAAACCAAACTGATGTTCTGAAAGAATATTCTGTTTCTTTAAATAATCATACATTGGTCGTACAGAATCCTTTCCATCAGTTTGCTGACCACAGGTAAAATTGAAATTGGTCTATAATTGTCTAACATAGTCCGTTGGCCTTTTTTAAAAATTGGAGTTACTCGTGCTGCTTTCCACTCCATCGGGAATCTGTCAGTGGCAATAGACATATTAAAAATCCTTGTTAAAGGCTCTGCAATAGCAGGAGCTGCAGCCTTTAATACTTTAGCTGAAATTTCGTCGATACCTGTAGCTTTGGAGATAGTTAATTTGGTTATAAGTCTATAAACTGTTGCAACATTTACAGGTTGGAAAATAAATCTCTCAACTGGTTCATGTTGAGGAATGAAATCTCGAAAGCTACAGTTGTGTTCGTATTCAATTTTTTCAGCAAGTTTAGGACCAACATCGGTAAAATAATCATTAAAAACATTAACCAGTTCAATAGTTGATGTAACTGTTTTCTCTGGTAGATTAATTAACAATATTTTGCTTCTGACTTCTTCCTAGTATCTCATTAACTGTTTTCCACGCATATTTTGGGTTCGGTTTGTTATTGCATAGTATTCCCTTTTAGCATTTCGCAAGGCAATATTTGCAGCATTACGAGATGACTTGTACAGCTTCCATTATTGGTTTTTATTGCTACGCGCTTAAAGTGGTCTCTCTGAAACAGCTTATTTTTAACACTTTTATTGAACCAGGGAACATTACCCTTTTTCCTTAATCTTTTTAATCTCTTCGGTGCGTGTTTGTCAAGCACTTGAAGAAATAAGGTTTTCCAGCATTCCCACATTTCATCCACGTTTTGTTTGCAGTGAAGCTCTACCCATGGAAGCATATACAAGTCACTAAGAAAGCTTTCAACATTGAATTTCCTAAAGATTTTAAATTCAACCGAATTTGGAGAATTTGCTTTAATTACGGAATTTAGTTTACGTGTTGCATAGATTAAAATATGATCACTTATACCGAGATGCACCACGGCTGATTGAATAATTTTATCCGGAGAGGAAGTAATGCAAACATCAAGTAATGATTTTGTAGATTTGGTAACACGTGTAGGATCATCAATTATTTGTGTTAATTGGTACAGTTGCATTATTTCCTGAAGCATTTTAACATTCGACAAATTTGAATCGAGTAGATTACAGTTTAGATCACCTAACGTGTAAACTTCTTTGTTTTCATCATCCACTAATTGAATTAGCCTTTCAATTTTTGAGAAAGTCTCAACAGTTGTATTTGGAGGTCTATAAACACTCGAAAAAATGAAAGACTTACTATTGGCTTGTTTTATTTCCAAACAAACGGCTTCTAGATCGTTTGGAATTAAATCTGGACTGTTTCATAGTTTACATGACACCTAACGTATATACATACTCCCCCTCCATTTCGTTTTCGATCAGAGCGCAGTATACCGTGACCCTCGATACTCATAAGGTCGTCCGAAATGTAGGAGTCAAGGCGAATTTCATTTAGTGCCAAGATATCCATTTTTTTATCATGCAATAGCAGGCGAATTTCGTCAAGGTGTTTCGGAAGGCTAGCTATATCGAGCATAGCCATTCTAAAACCTCTTAATTTAGGAATATCTGACCAATTCGTCTCATTATCTTTCCCCCTCGGCCTCTTATCATATCATTTTAATATATTTCCTATATTGGCTTGTAATAGGGCACTCCCTTCATGAGTTAGGTGTAAGCCCCTTCGATTTAAATGTAGCTGTTTATATTACTATTATCTAGAAACGACCAATTGTTTTCTTCACATTTCAGTTTCAAAGCAACATTGGTCTCTTTTACCTTACTTGCAAATTCGGGATTATCCGTTCTAATGATCAAGGATGAAATAATTATTCTTGTTTTCTTCGATTCCTGTTTGAACTGGTGTGCCACTTTAGTAACTTCGTCAGCAACATTCTGCGGCGTCGAACTTCGTATATTATTTGTGCCCACGTGTATGACCAGTTTATCAGGTTGCCTTCGAGTTGTTGGCCTGAGAAAGTCGTTCATATCCTCCACGGTGGCGCCTGAAAAGGATTTTACTGCGACATTTTGCTCGGTATTAGATAGTTCCCACCCCTTCACGTATTTTATTATAGAATCTCCTGCTACAACAACAGTTTTCCTTTTCTGTCGTTGAGGCTGTTGTTCTTGTTGTTCAGCTTTTGGCTGTTCTACTTCCTACGGCTTACGTGATGCGTCATCTTTGGTTGTCTTTTTCTTTGACTTGGATTTCCTTTTCTTTTTTTGTTGTACTTGATCTTCCTCAGTTTTCTGGTTTGATATTGCGCTTGATTCGCCGCCGTCTACTTGCTCGTTTTCCAGTACCGAATATTTGTTCTTTAATTTAATATTCGGGTTTATAATATCTTTTGACTGGGTGCAATCATCCACTTCATTGCACAGCTTTTGTTCAATAACATTGTTTTCTACTACGCTATTGGTTTCAGCAATTAGCAGACGCATGGCAGTAATTACGCTGTCTCTTTCTTGTTCTGCGTTTTTTGTCTTTTGTTGCAAGTCAGCTAGTATAAATGATAGGTTGTTGATTCTTTCGATGTTTTCATTATTTTCGTTTTTCAAAAGTTTGTTCTCATCCATCAGTTTATAAATTTTTTCTTTTAGGCAATCAACTTCGTTTTTTGATTCTTGAACTAACAATGGATTGGAGTCCATTTTTGGTTCCCTTATGTTTTCTAAAGCAGCCGTATTTCCGTTTACTTCTTTGGTAAGAGCTTGTATTTGGCTTTGAAGGGCCTCAAGGGACAACATTTGGTCATCTTGTATGGAACGGCTGTTTGCTGGAATTTTTTCGATAACATTAGGAATAGCTTCTTCGCATTGAATTTCATCAACAAATGGCCGGTTAACATCATTATCTACGTCTCTCGAGTCATTAATATTCAAAGTCGAAGCAACATGCGTCTCTTCAATATGGCCGTCCCGCTTCGATGCTTCTTTTCCACTTTCATTTGCCAGCTTCCCCGATATTACGGCAGCAGAATTGAATATCAGAATTGAATGTCGTCAACAGGACACTCAGACCTTTTTCTCTGACCCCTCAGAAATTTCATAAAATGTTTTTAAAAAAATTTCTCACCTCTCAGAAATTTTGTAATTTCCAAGACCCTTCAGAAAATGTCGTCAACAGGGGGGATGTATATATTAAATGGAATGGCCCAAGCAATCAAAATGGATATTGTAAACACACAGTGAATAATAAAATGAAATGTCGGATGAATCTTGGTTTATTACTTTATATGAAATGGGAAAAGTTGATAAGTATATACCTGCTTTTCAGCCATGTTCGCTTCCCATAATTCTTCGGAATCGGAACTATCTTTGTCTGATATTTCGTTATATAAACGCAGGTTGTAATCAAATAAATCACCATCATCATTGACCTTGTCCTCAGTATTATCAACATCAGAGTTGCCTTTAACAGTCTCATTGTATACATCCTCATGGCACCTTGTAATGTGCTTATATAACGAGTTATATTTCGTAAATATTGCCGGACAATCGTCAACGTTACATACAACTCGAAAATTGGTTTCATGGCCATGAACCTTATTATAGTGATTAAGCAGCGTTCGAAGCGAGCGAGATCGCTTGAAAATTATTGCAGCATGTACACGTCCAAGGCGTTTCATTTATGCGACGTTGTCTTTTCATTCAAAACACATGTTTTTTAACAGAAAACTTGTCAATTTTATACAATTACTCGTACAAAGCACACACTTTTAATAATGGCCACCAATAACGTCGGAACTGTCCGGAAATTATCGACCAGCGCCGTAAAGGCCGTGACGCGACGCGTGTTTTCAAAGACTTCTGGGATACTTGGCCTTTCACCTCGTGCTCGGCGGCAAAGGAGCTGTGTATTTTTAAAACAGGGAAAAAATAATTCAGAAATGTCGGATGATTTACTTGAAAAAATCGCCGAAATTGATTCGGAAGTCGCAGAGAATTTAAAGGGTAAGGATAACTTCTTGTTTTATGGTAGAAATGTTTGTAATAACCATTAAATTGCGGCATACGGTTGCGTTGTTTCATGTCAATGTTTGGCACGGTAAAATTTGAATAATATTCCGCATTTTTATGCATATTTTAACCACTTATTCTATATAAATGTAGTCCCAGATGGGCTGATTTATACTTCGTACTAGTATGACGTTTTCGTTCGTTATTCCATATCTTTCTGCATGTATTTGTGTTAAAATTATTGAAAAATTTTACGGCTAAAATTTTGGTTCATGATTATTAGCTATGCTTAATTCATAGGGGTCAGTGCTTCCACTTTCAAAAACCAAAAAATCGTTATTTTTTCCTTATTTTGACCGAAATTTCCTTCAAAAAATTGTAAAATTTCCTTCAAATTTCCTTTAAAGTGCCCCTGAGATCAAAAAATTTGTGCTACATTTTTTTACATAAACGTGAAGAACCCAGCATTATAAACCAATGTTCAAAAATTCAAGCGATTCCGAGCACGAGAAGTCGGCTTTTTTCAATTGTTTTTAAACGAAATTTTCGACCACCATTGCGAGAACATGTTCCGGAAATCGACAGCGTTCGTAGCAGAAAAGCGACAGGAAGTGACGTCAAAGACTCAACACAAAGATGCTCGAGGCAATTTGCCATATGGAAATTAGGCGCGTATTACGAACTTGTATTGCTTTTTTCCACGCATTTGAATTAATCTGTTGAAAATTAAATAATGCCATCAGCTAGGTGCGTAGTTCAAGAGTGCAGCAACGTTTCTAATCTTGGAGCTGGGATATCATTGCATCGTAGTCCTGCAGACAAAACGGAGTATGGAAAATGGTTGAGATTTGTTCGTACGCACCGAGCAAATTTCAACCCCAAAGGCGTCTTTGTGATCTGTTCGAGACACTTTCGAGAGGAATGTTTCGATGGGATACATATGAAAGGTTCTAGACGCAAACTTCAGCCACTTTCTATCCCAACGATATGGAAAAAAGAACCACAGAAACCTTTATCGGAGAGAAATCGACGGAAGGTAGGCTTTTTAAAAAAAAAAGATTATATACAGTATTTTATAAAATACTGTATATAAGTTAATTTATACATATTTAGTATTTATTTTATTTTTTATTTTACAATCTTTGTCAAATATTAAAATGACAGGTTATACCCTCCTTTACTATTGTCAAAAATCTAAACTGATTTTCATGTGCCGAACCTAATGCAAATGAACTCAAACAAAGACTTTAGGCATTTGCATTATTAGTTCGGCTTCGGCACATGAAAAAGTCGACATAGAACGTGGCCTATAAAGTCACATGCATGTCACATTGCATTGAGAACGTACAATACATTTTAAGACAACTGGTCAACATTTATACTGTAATAAACTTCTCAAATTGTTTTCAGGTCATCAATGAAATTCTCAGTGGCAATGCAGAAAGTAGTCAAAATAGTACCTCGTTTGGAAAAGAAAACTATGCTAACAGACCTATAAACACGCCAGTAAGAGTAACATCGACCTGGAAATAAGCGTATTGAAATGTATACAGTTTACTTGATTGGTTTATATATTCACGTTGTCTCTCTTTTAAATAGATGCTGGTCCAACTTTACAACCAAATAGTACTTCTCATTTGACCTTGCTACATACTGATGCTTTGGGCCCTGAACCATTTAATGAATTCCCGGTGGGTTTAATCTGTTAATATTGTAAAAGCAATTTACATACAATGGAGAAAAATCTCAAGTGTACTGTCATGTCACTTACTGTAAGAGTTTTTGAGATCTAGTTTACTTTCATTTTATTCATAGTTAATGTAATGTTTTATTTTAGCACACGAGTACATCATTGCCGTTCCTGCTATCTGATGTTCCTGTTTTGTCAACGGATGATGACAACAATCAGGTTAGCACTAATTTCCATCCAGCAAACAGCCCTATCGATTTTCTAAAGTCTTTTATTTTGGGTTTTTTTTTCATAAATTTGGCTAGGGTTAGAGTTAGGATTGGAGTTAAATTAGGGGTATGGTTTGGGTTAGTTACATAGCCATTTAATTAACACCTTTTCCATCTTCCAAAAATGACGTCAGGTCAGTTTGATGGTTGGAAAATAGTACTAACCCAATAAATCATAACATTTTGACTCCCAAGCATGTGTCTGTCTTTAGAGTACAGATAATATGTTCTCAGAAATAGTAGCTTGTCTTTCCTGTTTTCAGGTATTAAATTCCACTATCTTGTCTTCTTCAGGTTCCTGAAAAGTCTGAAGAAGTTCGAATGAATACAGCACCATGCAACAACTGCAAAATTCTCAGAAAGAAGAAAAAGGACCTTCAGAGGAAACTACGGGCTATGCATGATAAAGTTGATAACTTAAACCAAAAGATAACTTCAAACCAAAAAGATTGGATTAACACCTTTGAACAGTTGAGCCAAAGACCAGTAATGGTAGAAACTGGTAAGATAATTCTTTTGATTGACTACAAACTTAAGGAAATCAAAATTGATATTTATTCTAACTTACTACATCTCACATATTATTCTTATAGATACTCAAACCTGTGACGAAGAGGATGAATCTGGGTTTGCTGATCAACTGGATGATATGGATGATTTACACAGTTGTGAAGATGTGAATGAAAATATTGTGCAGGATGATGATCAACCATGGACACCTGATCAGTCAGATAATGTCTATGAAAAGTTAGGGGAGGATGATTATGAAAGCTTAGGAAGTGGGAAAGATAGGTATAATTTTAGTAATATCTCTTATGTTTCATTCCTGTTGAGATTAAATTTATTATATTTCTTGTGAGGAAAAAGTAGATTTAGACATGACAATGTCAGTCTGTTAATTTAAATACAAAGCTATGATCCATTTAGTTATTAGAAGTTCTCGTTATGGAAAGAGGAAAACCTTTGAAACACAAGAGAATCAACCACAATTCTATTGAATATATTCACATGTCATTATGGACATTAAATTACTATATACTCTTAATACAGTAGTATAGTATTAGTGTTGGGCTTAACTTTGGACATTGATTACAGTTGTGAAAAGGCAGCTCACTAAACACTTTTTCCCAATGTCTCTATTTGTTGGTTCTCAATTATAGGTTGAAATGCGAAGGGAAAGATGTTCGAGAAGAACCTAAAGGAATTGTATTTTTATCAAAACTCCTGCAACTTTTTCAATTCTGTCATTTGTGCCTGGCATCAAATCCTCAGCTCAGCATAACCCAAACTGGTACCATGCTGACAGTGAAATCTGCATGCAGCAGTTGTGGTGGCACTCATATTTGGAAAAGTCAGCCTTATATGTTAGGAAAGTTCCCTGCCGGTAATATTCTTTTGAGTTTTGCCATACTCTCTGCTGGGGCATCCGTTGGTAAAATCATCCTGGTTTTCAAGCATATGGGACTACTTTGCTACAGTGAAGCTACCTACTATTATCACCAGAGGCATCTTCTGTTTCCAAGTATTGTGAAGTTTTGGCAAACATACCAGGACAATATCTTAAAATCATTGAACAGAAAGGATGTTGTACTTGCGGGTGACGCCAGACACGACAGCATGGGTCACTCGGCAAAATATGGTGGTTACACCATATTTTGTTGCACCGTTGGACTTATAATCCATATTGTTATTATACAGGTAATGGAAAAGTTCGACTTATAATCCATATTGTTCTTGTACATGCAGGTTGGTTAATATGTTGACCTTTCGGTCCTTCCAAGAAATAAAATTTAATTTATTTATTTATTTCGCCCAATCATTATGGTAATTATATTTACTTCAAAAACGCATTAATAACTCATGAAGCAATTATCCAATCTTGAGTAAGAAATTAGTCACGTGCATGTCTTTATACCAGCTAAAGAACACTTTAACAAAAGACCATTGTTATGCAAACTATATAAAGATTTTTATATAAAAGTATTAAAGCTACAACTATAATAGGGCTAGGAGTCAAAGAAACCTTCATAGGCTTTTAAGGTAAGACCCCTAGTTAAAATGAGGTGCTAGCATTGTGTTTTACGACTACACTTGAGATAAATTGTGCATTTAATTACCTTATTTTATTTGGATTTTTTATCAGGCAAATCAAGCGGGTAATAGTAACAATATGGAGTTTTTGGGACATCAGAAGGCATTGGCTTTCCTGCTTGGTACTGGTATGATTATTAAGGCATTTATTTCTGACCGACATCTGGCCATAACAAAATGGATGAGAGAGGATTGTCCTAAGAAATGTAAAGAGCTACAAAAACCTATTATTGAACACTATTTTGATCTATGGCACATTGGCAAAAGTAAGTGACATGTTAAACCATAGCTGTAAGATACAATGTGCCTCATTATATAATGTTACATGCGTAAAAATTGAGAAAATCAACAACTTGTTCCAGGTTCATACTGAACAGGCGTGAACAAGGTTGTGCAATGTGCGGCCCACTATGAACAGTATTGTCAACATGTTACAGCATTGTTCAACTGTAACAACTTGGAACAACATGGTTGACAACTTGTTCATAGTTGGCCGCACAACATTGTTCACGCCTGTCGATATCAACTTGGAACAACCTGTGCGTTTTTAGCCATGTAGTCTGACCGCTGTCAGACTCAGATCCTATACAACTTTACTTGTCTAAGGGAAAGTCTTGTGTATAATATTGTGGTTAGGTAATTGGTTAAAATATATAATTTAACTAGCTCTTTTAACCAATACAAGTGGTGTGCCATTCACCTTTGACATTCCTGCATCGGTCAATCCCACCCCTTTCCTCTGCCCAAATGTAATTCTCTGATGTTAATGGCCATCTTGGGCAAAAATGGGTTAGGGTCAATAACAGTCTTCATTATATATACACCTTGTACTTTATATTTACAAAACACTAGAAATCAGAAAGGTATTAACAAAACTTAGCAAAGAGAATGGTTGCGAGGTAATTGGTAGATGGAAGAAGGCTTGTATAAGGCACTTTTATTGGTCTGTAACCTCAACAGCACTGAAACTCCGTGGTCGTCGTGATGTTATAGTTGCCAAATTCAAGGCTTTTTTTCACCATGTCCTTAACATTCATCATGACTTGCCCAACAAGATCTTCAATAAATGTGCTCATGGTCCAAGTACTACCCAGCGTGTTTGGTTAACAAAAGGTATTCTAAATCTACTCTCTGTATAATGCCTGACAATTATTTTTCTCATCAAGTGAAGATCATTGGGCTTTAATATTCATTAAAGCACAAAGGCCTTGCCTTGACGAGTATGATGAACATCTTGCATTTTATTTAGGGGCCATTCACAAAGGATGTCCGAGCCAAGGGGAGGGGGGTTTGGAAAATCAGGACAAACTCGGACATAGGGGGGGAGAGGGGGATTTTAGCAATCCGGATGTCCGAAATTTTAAAAAATTCAAAAACAAATATCTTTTTCCCTCTATTTTGAGCAGTCCTTCTCATTATGAAATTGGAATTTTGACTGGGCGGTTAACACTAGATTTTGTTTTAATTAGTAAATAATTTATATGTTTTTGTATTCACATTTATAGTTATAAAAAAGTTCTAAAAGTAAAAGAAGTTTTTTACTCTTGACATATACAAGGTTGTGTGAGTTTTTGTGAGGCATGGTGGATGTCCGAGGGGAGGAGTCACTAATTCGGACAATGCCGGACAAGGGGGGGGGGGGGTCTGAAAATCCATCATTTGGCCGGACATCCTTCGTAAATGGCCCCTTACATTATGCACACATCTTGCTTTTTCACAGGATCAGATGAATATGAGAAGTTGGTTGCAAACCTCAGTAAAACTTCCTTATTAAATGGTATAAAAAATGCATCGCCTATAGCACAGACCAGCTGTTTGGAAGGTTATCACTCTGTTGTTAACCAGTTCACCCCAAAGATGCTGGCATACTCTCACACAGGCATTTTATGCAGGTCAGTGATTATACAGTTATAGTTTTAACATTCAGCTAGGGTTTTTTTGTTTTAATTGTACTTAAATTAAGGCCAAAAAATTTAAATGGGTAATATATAATTTTAGAACTATACCTGCTGCTACCCACTTCAATTACAACCTTCGTCGACAATCTAAAGTTGATATGGATGGAAATGTCAAGCTTAAGGTCACCTACCCCAAATTCAAAGAAGGAGAGGCAACAGTTAGAGAGGTGAAAGTGGTGTCAAATTATGGTAAGTTCTTTTATACAATGGTGTTTAAAACTTAATCTTTCTTCTCGAAAGATGCCATTTTCATTATTTAGCATTTCCTCCATCTTTGGAGCAATTTCATAGGGTTTGGAACTGCCTAATGTACTGTAAACTGCTATGGGCAAAACCTAAAACCCTTGCACCTATTAACAAATACAGTTTCATTTTTTCAGATTATGTGGCTGAAATATACAAGACCATGACTACTATGCCGAAGAAAGAGTTAAAAACTATAGAGGATAAGCTGAAGAAAGATACACCAGAAGCCCTACACAATATGTTACCAGAGAGGGAGAACAAGGAAGAAGCAAAGAATAAATACAAGTTCAGAAAGACCAAAGTGACAGTTGTATGCCCTCCAACTTGTTCTGGTGTGTATTTACAATCAAAATTTGCACACCACACCATATAACTGTAGAATTATAAAGGCTAGAGGTTGTAAAGTTATCTGTTCACCAATTTGTCCTGACGAAGGGCTTTCGCTCAAAATGTCCAGATTTTATCTACATTCTAGGCACATGTGTTACAACCTCTAGCCTTTATTATATCTATCTGTGGCTGACACTGACACCACAGTTTACTGCAGAATTAGCAAAGGGGATTTGCTCTATAAATACAGATCAGCATATATTTGGAGGGGTGCACACGTCTCAGCTTTAATCAGTGTATGCCAGATTTTCATAATCTATGGCATTTTTAGTATTTTTTGTGGAGATAGAAGACTGCACACCCTATAAAGAAAATATTCACTGGATCTGTATGTGATATGTATTTTATTTTTTACAGATGCAGAACTTCAAGATATATTGCATCCACCCACTGCCACTTGCAAAAGAAAAGCACCCATGTGCAGAAAGTGTGGCAAGCCACGAAAAGGGCACAAGAAAGGGCAATGTAGCGGTCCAATAAGTGCGTTGTAATCATAGATATCTTATATACACTAGATAGTGCATCTAATTATTCTGCAATTCAAAAATTGAAGCCGTGATTGCAGTCTCAGGTCGTTCCCATGAAATGAGAAGATTCGTATGTTTTCTATTTCTTAAACAGGGAACTTAAACATTAAGTTAATCCTATTCCAAATACGTTTTTAAACTATTCATATGATGGAAGTTATTGTTGTTTTTAAGCGTTTATTAGCAAGTGGGAACGACCAACATGGCCGCCATCTATTCAAATGGGGGTAACCGCTGGAATATTCTTCGCTTCAACTTTACTAAAAGAGATGCGCTATCTAGTGTATATAAGATATCTATGGTTGTAATATGCAAGACCCAGTACAACCAAAGATGCCTGTTGTATGAGTCAATCAATTTCGTTCCCCGAGCCTGTTATCCTTTGGGGGGAAGGATTGAATAGCTCTGGGATAATCCATAACCAGAAGTGGATCTGATTGGATGTTGATACAGAATACAATGTCGAATTTAATATTCAATTGTCACAATTCTGGACTTCCAGTTATGGATTATCCCATAGCTCTTCGTTCCTTCCCCCAAAGGATAACACGCTCGTGGTCAATGACAACTTTATGAGTTGTCACCTGTCCCTCACATATTATACAGTAGCCAGTGAGGTCAGGTTCTTGTGTAAGGATTAGGTTTTAGGATTATAATTACAACTATACTACAATACAATGAAATCCTTAAAAATCCTTAAATCCATACAATGACTCGTAGCTCATTTAAACCACATTAAACGTTAATCTCAGTACAACCACATATACATGTTATTTTGTTTGCACTTTTGCTAGGAACATACCATAAAACACCAAATATTATTTGATACGTTTCAAATATACTAGTCATCTTCTTCATAGCCATGATAGTCCTCTGCTTCAGTTGGGTATGTTCTTCGGATACTGTTATAGACACAACAGGGCAAAGGAATTCTTGTAGATGCCCCTACATACTTCCAAATCATTCTAACAAATTGCCTGTAAGCAACAGCTCTCAAGAATCTAGAGAGAAAAGTTAGTAACCACTCAGTTTATACTTTGTAATTTGACAGTGTGTGTATATTTTGTTATATGATGTTCAGATTTATTAAAATATTAATCCCATTAATTCAACTTACTCGTGCTCTGCTGTATCACCTTGAACGAACATGACAGTATATGATTTCTTTTTCTTGGTTTTAAAGCCTATACCAGCAACTCTTAACACCCAGCGTTTTAAACAAATGTCCGCAAAGCCAGGATGCACTGTCACACATTGTTCAGGAATTTCAGCCTCTTCCATCCTTGTTTTGCATTGCTCGATTTCCATACAGCATCTACATTCATCATATTTCGCCACAAACTCTAATGAGCAATTGGAACACTTACACCTATTAAACAACACAAGCAGAGAGAGTGAAAAACTGAAAATATGACAATAACTTTGTTACTGAGCGAAAATATCAATACACATGTGTCCCATGCAGTCAAGCATACAGTCTGTAAGTATGTCCCCATGGCTACCTACATGTTCAAGAACAAATATAAAAAACTTACCAGTTTTCGACGTTATCTTCTCCTGAAAACCGGCTCCAAAGAATCTCTTCCTCCTCTTCTTCCTGAGCCAGTTTTACTGCATAAGCAGCCGCTTCTTGTTCAGTGGCAATCGGTTCAACAGACTCAACGTTGTCGTTGTAGTTGTAGGGGAAAAATTCTTCGCTTGCCGAAAAAAAGCTGTCCTCTAAGTGTTCAGAACTGATAGAAGACGCTTCCGAACTATCTGAACTATACAGTCTATACTCAGACGAGTCGTCATCTGACAGATTCGACATTTCGCAAAATAAAGAGTAGTCTCAAGTTTCTTGCATGTATAAATACAATAGTGAGCAATATTGTTGTTGTTGAGTCTTTGACGTCACAAGAGCCCACAGTAATGAACCAGAGGAGGTTGCGGTTGGAACATGTTTTTAACAATGGCGGACAAATTTTAAGTGATTTTACATGCTGAATTTCTCTTTATGGAATGATTTCTGTTCACTTTTTTTTAGTAAGTTTGAAGGATTTTTGCATATAATGATCGTTTTTATTAAAAAACTAAGGAAAACCTTTGTACAAAATTTCGTCTCAGGGGCACTTTAAGTAATTTAACTGAAGGGGGGCCAAATTAGGTTAAATATTCTCCAAAATAGTCTTTTCTCAACACAACAATCATGTGGATGTTCAATTTTATCATGACTCAAAAGTCTAAACACAATTCGACTTCATTTGCATACAGATTATAAACAGAATGACGTCATTCAGGGATACAAAATTGAAGAATTAGCTACACTGACTATTATGATGTTTGGAATTACAATATTTTTCTGCCCATGCACCAGATAGAGTAGTTATTTTTGTACGAATAATGTAATAGGAACAGGAATGGATACAATGGACATTTACGTTTTCTACAGTAGATGTTGACTTGTTGGATTATCGTGCACGGTGCACATGGCCAGGCCCCGCCCATGGCTAGGCAATAAGCACAGCTTTCAACTTCATTTATATCACTATCACACTGGCCCACACTTGCTTTCGGTTGTCTTCGCTTGTGGTTATATCAGAGCGTGGAAAATATCAACAAAGTTTTAATTATTCTGATTTATATGTATGTAATTATGTTTATGATATTGATATTACATGAAGTATTGGCTTTCAAATTATCTGGGCCAGGTCATATTCATTAGATAACTTAATATAAACTCTAGAGTTTCTACATTCGGCTAAAATGTGATCGGATTGAGTTTATTTTGCGCTTTATTTTCCAAATATCACCAATTTTGTAGATATTTTGCATTTTCCTTCAACTTTCCTTTGTTCATCTAGAATTTCCTTCAAATTTCCCTCAAAATTTATTTCCTTCATTTTGCAAAAATTTCCTTCAAAGAGGAAGCACTGGTAAGGAGGGGTAAATGGTGGAAGAGGGTAGCTATGGGGGGGGGGGGCATGACAGCATAACAGAAAGAGGTTTAGAAATTTGTGAAAAAGTGGTGATATCAATACTGTAATCGGACCTTTAACTCTAGTCTTTACTGATTTTCTGTGACTGCACAATTATTTAATATTGTCAATACCATTTATAAGCATGGGGCATGGGATAGTCACACTTTATTAATTATGTGTTTCAGCTGGTGGCCTAACAAGTAAGGATGTGAAAGATCTTTGTTATGATGCATTGAGAGAAATTATTCCAGCTGATGGAATGAAAGGAATATTATTGAGGTCACGCATATGCAAAGTTATAGCTCAGGTAAAAATATTTTATAATTATATCCACAGTAATGTACTTCAACTCAGGGTCTATCTAACATACCAGCAATATATTTTCAACTGTATTTTTCAAACCATTTTTGACCATAGCCCCTACCAAGTGTCCTCATTGATGGTGGGTTTTAGGCGACTACCCACTTAGCACACCTCTGTCTGGTTTTGTTTTATCAATCCCTTCTTTTAGATACATTGACACCCATTTTCTCTGCACTCTTATAAGACTGAAGTATTGGAAGTTAAGTACTGCATGAAGCTTTTCCTCTTTTTATTTCAGGAAAATGAGAAACCAACAGCTAGCCCTAAATCAACAACAAAAAGAATGGATGGAAAAAGAAAGTTTGACATGATAGATGACAACAATGATGCTAACTTGTCAGAAGATGATATTACCATAATCAAACAAACGTCGACAAAGTTTATTCCTTCAACCTCAGCAGCAATATTGCATGTAAAATCACCAGTTTATACCATCTATCGTGATAGACGTGTTGACTTAGCTTCAAAAGATGGAAGTTTACCAGAACACTTGGTTCATGATATTGTGCGAGCAACTGTAAGCAACATGGTATCTGTGGCCCTTTCTGAACCATGGAATCGATTGCCAACTTCTATGGAATTAAAGGAGATGGCAAAAAGTCTGATTGTAACCTATCCATTGTTACGTGATCCAGTTAGTGGTCATGTAAGTTTCTCCTGCATATTTTTTATACCACCTTAAATACCTCAGACATATATATTCATCAATCTCAAGGGCTTGTGAATATTTAAATCTTTTTGCTAGGGTATAACCCCAATGTCAGGAGTATAGAAGGAGTTGTAAGGATTTTTGTTGCCCATGGTAGGAAAATAGGATTTGAATTTAGTATTTACTGTATATTGTAAACTTGTTCAAAGGTTTTACTTTTAAATATACTACAAGAATACAACCAAAATTTTGATCGCTACTCGTCTATACAAAAATTTCACTCAGCTTGAAAGAGACTTAAAAATTAGTAATATTCTGAAGTTTCGTTGGAAAATGTTGTAAAATATCTGAGTCGAACACACTGACACAAAATCGTAAAATTATAAAGCATTTAGTCTCTAGTACTTTACTTGAGTACAGCTTTAGAATGAAAATAACATCTCATAGACAGTGTATAAAAGTGTGTATTATAAATTAGTAATAGAAACATCACTCTTTTACCGTGCCATTTTGTTTCCTGTACCAATCTTGTACCAAAGGTGTTATCTCCAGGGTTGACAAATAAACGCACACACAACTCGATAGCATAGTGTCTAGCACTTAGCACAGATACAAAAATCATGTTCACCTGAGTACACAACACTGACATGAAAACAAATCATTTCTAATGTTTGTTTGGAATGTTTGTTGTAAAGTTCCAAAGGTTTTTTTTTTAATTTATTTACTTTTATTCTAAACCAATTAAAGCATAGCTCTAACATATATTAGGCTTACAGTCAATTTCAGATAAGTTTACACCAAAATGTTGTGAAGTTCGTAAATTTGTTGCAAAATTCGGAAGTTCATATTGGAATTCACAAGCCAATTTGTAAACAAAGTGCTCAATTGGTTCCTGAAAAAAAGAAGCCAATTTTTGATCAAATGTGTAGTTTACAAGCTGGTTTGTGATCTCATTATGAACTTTTGAACTTCACAACAAAGTTCAGAACATTTGTGTGTAAAAGATTTTTAGAACCAGGCCTTAAAATATCGGTCAGTCACGGACATTGTCCGGCCCATTCGTGAAATTGTCCGACGTAGAAAGGAAACCATCGGACATTCTGTCCGACCAAAGTGAAACTGAGGTTTATTGTTTGTCCGACCCGAGTGTATTTGTGTGCGACCGAACTGTAACTTTGTCCGACGTAAATCAAAATGTACCTTAGCCCAGGACTAGAGGCTTGTATGTTAAATGGAAAATCAGAGTACTATTGTATAAATGGAATTGTTGTTTTAACGTAGTCGAGCACTGGGCGGCGAGCGTAATGGTGAAGTGGAAATCGGACTTAAGTTGTCGAAGTCTTTTTTGATACTGCTGTTCTGGAAAGCAAGTTAATTTTGGCTTGGAAATAAGTATGAAAGAAACAAATTATTATGTCCGACCCAAACTCAACGTCACCGGACATTTTGTCAGACGGCCCTGGAAAAGATATTTTAAGACCTGTTAGAACCACTGAGTATTTTTATAAAATACAAAACAACAGTAACTCCAAAAATTGATAACATTTTTATTTATCTACGTTTCGACTATATTTTAGTCATCAGGATAAACTAACTAGATTATATATCAAAAGCAGTATTTATATGAAGAGATTATAGTAATATGATACATTACGTTGATTAATGAATTATTATATTAGTTAAATATGATTAGTTCTTTAGAAGCTTTAATTCCATTGTTCAGTTCAGGTTTATGTCTTTGAATAGCGAATCGCTATAATAGAAAATCGCTATTCAAAGACATAAACCTGAACTGAACAATGGAATTAAAGCTTCTAAAGAACTAATCATATTTAACTAATATAATAATTCATTAATCAACGTAATGTATCATATTACTATAATCTCTTCATATAAGTACTGCTTTTGATATATAATCTAGTTAGTTTATCCTGATGATGACTAAAATATAGTCGAAACATAGATAAATAAAAATGTTATCAATTTTTGGAGTTACCGTTGTTTTGTATTTTGTGTGTAAAGTTATCTGAAATTGACTGTCAGAACGTAAGTATTTTGATATATTTTATAGGAACGTTTGTTTAACCGTTTGAAAAAACGAATGTATAACAAAAAGCCAGTCGAGAAGAAACATGGACCAAACAAGAAAAAAGGTTCTGGAAATAAAATGTCCAGCTGCAATGAAAGTATGGATGAAGTTGAGACCGAAGAAAATACTTCTTGTGAAAATATGGACACCAGTACCAGTGAAGAAATTTCTGAATCTGACACTGGTAAAAATAACAGTTTTGTCCAGCCTTATTACCAGCCTACACAGTGCATGTCTCAAAATAACGACTGATAGAGCTCCAGTCAATTTTATTTTAGCTTGGTCAAACTGAAACTCTGTGTGAGATACAAGGTTGCTAACAACATTCCTGTTTCAAGTTTTAAACACTGAAAAGGTTAACAATCACATTCAGGGCTCGAAACTTGCGGTATCCCGATATCCACAGGATATCAGATTTTAATTTTGGATACTGGGTATCATAAGCTCAGTATCCCAACTGGATACTAGGAAAACTTAGAAATTGCGATAGTAGATAATCATCTGGACGTTTGGCATGTTTCCGAACTTCAATGTCTACGGATTTTGGCAGAATATTTTTTAAAAAAAATTTCACAAACGGTGCTTTCTTTCATATCGCCGCAGTGTGTTATTTTCAATTTTTTCGAATTTCAATACATATTTTTATTATTGAAACTAAAGGCCTGGTTTTTGCTCAGCAACTGAAGGCCTGGTTGCAAGGTAAAATTTTGCCTTGCTTAGATACTGGAAATAGAATATCTAGTATCCAAATCTGGGATACTATATTTCAAGGATGGATACTAGATTCTATGATGCTGGTATCCACTTGGATACTGACAAAAATTTCAAGTTTCGAGCCCTGACATTGTAAATATAGGCACCATTATAATTAGTAGGGAATTTTGTAATTTGACCAACACAAACAAAAATTTAACTGTATGTCGATGGATATACAGCAATGTACTGTACAGTCTTTCTACCTCTGACAATGTTTCAGCACATACTGTATGATGAGGAGAAAACGGAATAAGGATTTCCTGAAATTCTACTGTCCAGTTAAATTGGCGAACACTGTTAAAAAAGTGACTGGTCCTTGACTGTTAATAACCAGCTGTTGTTTTGAGCCCTGCACTAAGTGGCACTTTGAAAGTGCATTACCGGTACCTCAAATCCTGCATTCAGTTATAATGCTATACATGTGACAATAGTTTTATGTCTGAGGCAGTTCACTTCTGAGATATTCTGAGATATGGACAAGTTTCTTACTCAACTTGAACTTTTACTTCGTCTTTTTACAAATTACCTATATTAGTTATCCTGAAATCCACTTCTTGGTTGGTGACTCATTGTATAATGCGCTTATGAATTAATCAGTATGTTCTCAATTATAGACCCAAAGTCATTTTGTGGCAGCACTGATCAGCCTATCATGGATAGGCTCTACAATTCCCTGTCCAACGAGATGAAGAAAAAAAATCCGTCACCAAGTGTAGTAAATGCCTATTTGAACCAACAATTTGATTCAAGACAGCAGCAGATCAAGGATATGCCAGTGGAAGAGCGATGCTCAAAATTGTTAGAGCTATATCCTTGCTTCAGGAATCCAGTAGAGGTAGGCAGTAGTTACAGTAGAATACATTTTTTTCTTACAAGATTGACAGGCCCAAAGGTCAATGTGAAATACCATGCTGCTGTTTGTAATAACATAGCATCCGTACACTCTGAACGCTGATTAGCTAACAGCAGTGCCGACATAACTCAATGTCAACACGGAAATTTTCCGTCCTTATTTCCCAACCTTATTTCCCAAAGCTATTTTAATGTTGTATTAAAATGCGCAGAGAAAAATGCTTTTCGTTGCTCGATTTCTGCTCATTTCCTTTTTCCCAGTTGATCTTCCCATAAACTTTGAAAAACATTGTAAATTGTTCATAATTTACTGATCATAGTAGCCAAAAAAGACACCCAAAGAGTGCCAAAAACTGTTTTTCAAATGAAAAGTTACACTGCGTTCATATGAGGCAAAAAATTTTCCATGTACTGAGATCTAGCTCTATGACCGGCATAACATGTCACAGCCATGGAAACTTTATATGAACAGAACAAAATTATTTGCTGCCTTGCTGGTCGAAATCTTTTCTCGCTAACTGCCGGGATAACTTTTCCCCACATGAACAGGCCCTTATCTGTCTTTGTAAAAAAATTCGTTTTGCTTATAGATTATTGAAGAAGTTCGGAGAATAACTGGAAAAACAGAGAGGAAAGATCCGTCCGCATTCATGAATGAATGCTTGACGAGATTTGATGAAGAGTTGGAAGTATTGTTGTACTATGGTTCTTCCAATCAAAGAATAGAACACTGTAACAAACCTGGCAAAGGCAAGTGCTATTTTTTACTAATCAAGATGGCCGGCGGTCGGAGGTTTTCCGATCAAATTTCTGTTTTTCCGACCAAATGCTGAAATGATCGGAAATTTTGTCCGGACAAATTTTGACTCGGGAGTCAACAACCTGGAAGATAAAGAATACGTTTCCTCAAAGTTTTGAGCAAAGGCCAGGCCCTTCATCAGGCTGATCAAATAAGCTTACACAAGTTGTATGATTGACTCTCTTGACGAAGGTCCTGAGCTCAAAACGTCTAGGAAACGTATTCTTGTACCATCCCACACATCGTGTAATCCACCTTCTCAGTTTGAAGTTGTTTCATAGTTACCATTTTAATTAAATTAATTTATCATTAACTGGCTCTATAACTAATATGGAATTCAGAATAAAACACTAGTAGGGTGATTTACTGTACACTTTACTCTGCAACGGAGGGGGTCAAACGAAACTAAAAAACTTCCGACGAAATTTGAAAATTTCTGGTCAAATTTCATTTTGCTCAGAAGTTTTGCCGGACAAATTTTAAAATTATTTCAGGCTCTGACTATCATCTTTTTCATTTGGCATGAACTGTAACAACTTATGGATCATGCAATGCATCTACAGAAAGTGGATTAAGTGGTCCAATTCAGTACCGGTTCACTTGATGTATTGCGGTACACTAATTTTTTTTGTATTTTTTTACAGTTGCCAAGGTGATCCATTTAATGAAAAACTTGCATTTGCTGTTTGGAAACACTAATGTTAAGTCTGGAAAATCCTCAAAAAAAGTTGCAGAATTAATTTTTCTGATAAAGGTGAGCCTTTGTTCATGAGTTGATTGTTTTTGTCACCAAGCTGAAGCATGCAAGACTTTTACATTTAAGGAAAGTGTGATGTCATGCTTGCATAACATCCTTTTCATTTACAAACACAAAATGACAATGGATGGCATAAAATGGTAATATAATTATAGACAATACTTTCGAGAATATTCTTCAACTGGCTCAACTTAAAAAACAGTTAAAATATAAGTTTGAGTGTCAGGCCTGGATAAAGTATTTTCCTTCCTGGAAGCATAAACCCAAAATACAAATTTCCTGCCATGCTACTTCAGAATTTCCTGTGAGACTTTTTTATTTATAGTTAAGACTACAGAAGAGAAAAACAAGCACTTAATCGCGAACATCGAATCAACAAAAATTTCCTTAACGATATAAAAAGGTTTCCTGCAAGTAATTTTTGTGAAAAATTTCCTGGCAGCGGAGCTGCCGGACATTTTCCAGCCCTGTTGAGTGTCGTCAAGTGATAAGGCTGGTCTGTTATTACATGCCTTTCTTCCACAAACAATGATGGCAGAGTTTGGTTCAATAAGAAATGAACAACTCATATGATTTTACTTTCTTTAGGATCATGAAAATCCAGAGGTTGTGTGCAGTTCAAGTCGACGACCGAACATGAAAGGTGTGCCATTGCTCTGTATAGACAAGACGTATGCATATCTGATGTGCTCAGGTAATCTCGTTTGTAAAGTTGAACTGCAGAAAGTCATGGAAGCAGCCCTTGCCTTGATTGGGCTTTTTTATCTACTGGATGTAGACTATCCTAAGGCACATGAACTGGGATTGACCATGCTGCAGAACGTGGTGTTTCAAGATCTAAGCACGCCAGATGACTTGTTCAACACGTTTCAGTCTGCAAAAAAAGCTTACCTAGACTTTCAACAGAATTCATCAGGATTATAAGTTTGAGCAAGTACCCATCAGTGTGAACACATAAAGACAATGTCTAGTTTCAAATATAGAATTCATTGCCAACTATACAGGTATGACTATTATACTTGGACAGTTGGACTAGTAACAATGGTCCAATTTGCGAAAGTTCTTTCATTTTACTATATTTTATCGTTTAATTATATATCCTGTTCTAATTGATATGGGAATGCATCTATTCTTGTATAGTAGGTAATAACATTCTTGAAAATATTATAGCTATTTGGGTTTATTTTTACAAGAAAAATATTTTTGTAACAAGTAATATATTCTTGTATCAAGTAATAATATTCTTGTTTCAAGCAATAATATTCGTGTATCGAGTAATAATATTCTTGTATCAAGTGATATAATTCTTGTATCGAGTAATAATATTCTTGTTTCAAGTAATCATATTCTTGTATCAAGTATAAAATATTCTTGTATCAAGTAATAGTATTCTTGTATCAAGGAGTAATATTTGTGTATCAAGTAATAATATTCTTGTATCAAGTGATATTATTCTTGTATCAAGTAATAATATTCTTGTATCAAGTAATCATGTTCTTGTATCAAGTATAAAATATTCTTGTATCAAGTAATAATATTCTTGTATCAAGTAACATTATTCTTATATCAAGTAATGTATCAAGTAATATTATTCTTGTATCAAGTAATATTATTCTTATACACTGTAAATCTCGCGGTGTTGCGGCAACACCAAAAAGGTGTAACATTACACTGATTAGGTGTAACGCGGAATTTTAAAAACACTGTTCGAGTGTAACATTACACTTTCACAGTGTAGCTTTACACTATTTTAGTGTTTTGGTAACACTTACCAGGTGTAAAATAGAAAATATCCTAATTACACCTAATTCGGTGTAGATTTACATTATAACGGTGTAACCTTACCTCTTCTCCCTGTTAATTTACACTTTGCGATGGTGTAAATATACACTTATTTGGTGTAAAATATGCCAACACTTGCGAAGTGTAAATTTACACTTTTCCTGCCGTATTATTACACCTAGAATGCGTTAAAATACACTGAGCTGCAGTGAAGTAGAAACTAATGTATTAGTTATTATTGCGGTGTAAATTTACCCTTAACTAGTGTAAATTTACCCAATGATTGTGTATGAGATAACACCATAATAATGTAAATATACACCGGTATGGTGTAAAAAATATGAATGCTTACTTAGTGTAAATCCACACTGAACCTGGTGTATAATTACACTAAGTCCATGTTAAGATACACTGATGTAGTGTAAAGTAGAAACCGAAGTATTGACACCTTTTATGCTGTAAATTTACCCTCAAACGGTGTAAATTTACCCAAATCTTGTGTATGAAAAAACACCTTGATTGTGTAAATATACACCGGAATGGTGTAAAAAATATGAATGCTTACTTAGGGTAAATCTACACTGAACCTGGTGTATAATTACACTAAGACCATTTTAAGATACACTGATCTGGTGTAAAGTAGAAACTGAAATATTAACGAACACCTATACTATGCTGTGAACTTACCCTCAAACTGTGTAAATTTAGCGATCTAATTCTCGTGTATGAGACGACACCATGATAGTGTAAGGTGTAAACCTATATCAGTGGTGTAAACATACAGAATTCGAATAGTGTAAAAGTTTGTATGGGGACCAAAATATACTGGCCGGCTTACCCTTCACATTAGGGCTTTTTGAAAAGTCGGTGTAAAAGTGTAAAGTATAAACTATTTTATAAGACTACCTTTAAACGGTGTAAACTTAAACGGTGCGTTTTGTAAGGTGTGCCATGCAGACCTCACATTGTTCATTTTTTATTGCAATCTGTTACCTCCATATATTAAGTTTTCCCAATCTAATCTTTTTTTGGTGGCCCCTTACTAGTTACTTCTACTTTAATTTGGCCAGGCTATACCCCCCCCCCCTCTCCAAATATGCCCTGCTGGCTATGGTGTACATTATATGTCATAAATCCCTCCTTCTCGGTGTTTATCCTCTACAAAATAAGACAGCTAGAATTTTGAAGATAGAATTAAGAGTTTCTATAAAAAACCGTACTACCAACCTCGTTCCCAGGGCTTCAGTGTGAGGGTTGCCGCACTACAGTTTAATTTGCACTGGATTGTCCACATGATTGAGATCAGTGCCTTCAGCAATCGCGTGCCATATATGGGCTCCCAGAAGGCTTAGCGGGCACACTTCGAGCGCATCGTTTGGAAATTTAGTAACGCTTGTTGATATGGCCACAGAATAGGAAGTTATACCAGAAGCGTAACTCGAGCAAATATTTGTCCGCGTTTTTACAAGCGATTCGTCATCAATCACGCCATCCTGGCTAGTACAACCGGCAATTTGTACCTACCAAATCCTGATAAAAACTTCCGGCTGTACTAGCCAGGATGGCGTGGCCTGACGTGAGCGAGTTAAAAATTTTCGTGGACGTCAAACAATAAGGGAAACGACTAGAGTTACGCTTCTGGTATAACTTCCTATTCTGTGATATGGCCGAGAATATGGCCAAGTTTTCTTAATATATTGAAGAAGAAAAGAAGAAATACTCCAATTTTTGAACACCCACACAACAACTTTAAATGTAAGTGTTCAACTATGTCAATATTCTGAAGTTTCGTATGTAAATATGTGCCATAAATTGTTGTATAATTTCATGTATATTTTTAACCGCCGTGCCGTTGGCCGATTGTATATTTTTGTATTTGGTTTCAACAATATATTGTTATTAAAACTTTGTGATCTTGCTTTGTATTTACAGATTATAATTCCAAGCAATAAATGCTGTCATAATATGTTATTCAAGCAAGTCAAACTGTCGAAATCATGATATATAAAACGACAACAAACTGGAATATTCACTACAGTCTACAGGCTACAACTAGAAGGTATGAATATTGTTTATAATGTATTGACTGAGACGGTATCAATATTGACTCATTTAGCAAATATTGATATAATCTCCAAAGCAAGTTCTATGACTATGGATTTGTATGAGAGGAGAATAATTTTTCCTTTGTCTTTAATATTTATATTGTGCTATCAATAGATTCCAGACAACCTTAAATATGCATGTTGCTGAATTCCCTGAATACATTCAGGATATATGTTTTTCATAATTTTTTTCTGTGTTAGTGTCATGTACTCAGGTTGTCGTACTCACCTACATTGGGCTAGTATTCCAAAGGTCGTAGGTTCGATTCCCACCATGGCCAGGCATATTTTTTAAGCTTGCCCTGTGTGGATATATACTCAGAGTAACATCACAAACATTATGTTTCTCATATTTATACCTGAGGAATTCCAAGCTCAAAAATTATAGTGTACCCCTGATTGCCCTGGAAAAAATATCCCAATATGCTAAGTACTATACAGACCCTAATATGGTGTAATAGTAAATGAGTCATGTTCACATACCGTAAAAACAATCATTTTCAAAAGAAATCTATCAGGCGCAGAACACGAATATATGAATATCCTCCCCCCGCATTTTTGGTCTAGCTACGGCCCTGGTCAAGTTGTGTGTTTATATGGAACTGAGGCAGACCAGATACCATCTGGAGTTCATTGTAGTGTTGTGCCAACTACCAAGAAGAATTCATGATCCATGTTTACTTGAGACTTTTCAGGCAGGTCAGCTCAAAGCTAAATAAGAGCTGCTTGCTAAATAAGAGCTGTTTACATTGCCCTCTGAAAATGTACTACCGTACGGAACAGATAAAATGGCATTCTTACTGAATGTACCTGTGCTTGGACAAAGGTTTGAAATGCTATGTACGGTACCGGATATCATATCCAGGCTCAGGGCTGCCGAGAGAATTTGTTGGGCCCGGGACAAATCTTCTTTTGGGGCCTCATGACTAGACCTTAACTAGATTGCATGTGGAGCTACTGTAAGGGGCCCTCAATTTAAAGAATGCTCTAGTACCAATTTAAAGGACCTATTCAATTTTAGGCTCTCAATCTCAAGTTAGGGCCCTATTCCCCCTCTCGGCAGATAGTGGATAGTAAAATAATCTTACTATCCAGTATTTTGGAAGAAACCAGGTTTGACCTTTGAGATTTGTGAGCAAGGCTTT